AGGACTCAATCAGGTTCAATGAAAATGACCTGTACCCTGTCTTACTGGATTTTCCTCAATATCCTCTGTAATAGGGGTTCTGTTGGAGAAAATGTGTACTTGACAGCCTCCAGCCATCACATGAGAGCACTCCCTCTGGAGCAGAAGTCTTTGCACTTTTTGTTCATATTTGATACAAATAGCTCTGTGATTTTGAAATCCTCATACCCAAAACACCTCCTGTAGATTTTGGTTGTGCAGCTCCCACACATGTTCTGTGGAATACTGTACAAAGGGTACGCCACAGTGTTTGGCAGATGCACAGAGGTCAGAATATTCTACATAAACAGGGCTCGCCAAGCGGTGGCAAGCCCCACTCGCCAGCTGCACTGTTTCACGCCATTCTGCGTTCTGTGCATGTGCAGATTGCTCTGCGCTGGCTCTTCTGGGTTGCAATCTACTCGCCACGGGCAAGTAGATTACATTATTTGTCGAGCCCTGTACATAAGTATGGTAAAAGTTCCAAATGGTGACAGCTTCTGATCATAGTTCTGAGAATTACACTTCTCCCTGATTCATAGACTACTAGGACTGGAAGGGACCTTGAGAGGTCATCAAGTCCAGTCCCCTGCCCTCATGGCAGGACCAAATACTGTCTAGACCATCCCTGATAGACATTTATCTAACCTACTCTTAAATATCTCCAGAGATGGAGATTCCACAACCTCCCTGGGCAATTTATTCCAGTGTTTGACTACCCTGACCATTAGGAACTTTTTCCTAATGTCCAACCTAAATCTCCCTTGCTGCAGTTTAAGCCCATTGCTGCTGCTTCTATCCCCAGAGGCCAAGTTTTCTCCCTCCTCCTTATGACACCCTTTTAGATACCTTAGATTTAGATTGTTAAAGTAATATAGCACAATCACATTGCTGGATACATCTAGACCCGTGGTCCCCAGCACGGTGCACTTGCATGTGCCTGCCAGGTGCTCGGGGCTGGCGTGGCCCCGGGCACGTGGCGCACGGTGAGCGCCAGCCCCGGGCGCGCGGCGCTTGCGGGGGGAGGGGAGGAAGCCCCGGCCCC